GCTGGATAGAACAGGTGTAATTTACGCAGCTCATTTACACACTTTTCCTGAAGATAGAAGAGTTTGTTGAATCTGACGTGACATGTTCGTACGAATAAAAGTAAGAGAAATTTAGGATAAGAATACGAACATGTTCTTGCGTGAGGCCCATTCTTTCTATAATTTCATTTAGTTTTAGTAAGTTTGGAAAAAAAAAGGCTATACAGTTTTTATTAGTTATCGTTTTTTTTTCTTTTTATTACAGTTTTTATTTATTTCAGTTGACTAAAATGTCTTTTTCAGTTTCAGTTTTTGTTATTTAGTTAGTTTTAGTTAACTACAATAAACCTGGTGCTCTGGTAGGTTTTCAAAGAGGACAAGTATCTGAAGGAGGCTGCAGAATGTGCTGAGGTCATCTGGCAGCGAGGCCTGCTCAGAAAAGGCTACGGTATCTGCCACGGCACCGCCGGCAACGGCTACGCCTTTTTATCTCTTTACAAGCTCACCCAGGAGAAGAAGCACCTGTATCGAGCATGCAAGGTAGGACAAACGTTTAGTTAGCAGAAAATACACTCAAGGGTCCAAATAAAAGAGCAGTAACGGAAGCTTTGATGGTTAATCTAAGAATTTCTTCTTTTTACTGTCTAGTTTGCCGAGTGGTGTTTGGACTACGGGGCTCACGGTTGTCGCATCCCTGACAGACCGTACTCTCTGTTTGAAGGTACCAGACCTTCATCTACACTCGTCTCAGGGCTTTATCAACAGACGGCTCTGACTGCTCCACACATTAATATTTGATGAAGTTATGACTCAGTTAGGAGGAACAAAAGGTTTTATTTCAGTTTTTACATAAAACCAGGATTTAAAAAAATGAATATAATTTTACTGATGCTCTCCACACTTCTCTGCTCCACATGGAGCACCAGGGCAGCCTGCCGGTCAGTAACCACAGAAATTCCTCAACAATAATTTACTGGCCCAGCTCCAGATCAGGTCTTTTGACGAAGAAAGTACAAAAAGAGACAAAAAAAAAGTTTAATTCCTGTGCGTATGTCTCACAAATCCTTTTCTTATATAGATATCTAATTAGCACAGCAATGAGGAAATTAGTGTTTCGTAGATTATTTCTTGTTAGAAAGTCTGTTAAGTTCCCTTTTTAAATGGTGCCACATTTGTAAGGATCATGCTTTTGTGGAATGAGCAGTAGAGCTGAGTGTGTGGGTTGTGCTCATGAAACATTTGCTAAATCTTCAATATATACATTTATAAATTGTCAATTTTCTTCTTCGGGATCTAAAATAGAATGAAACCTTCAGGCTTGAGATGTCTGTGGCAGAACATGAAGGCGTTCATCTTCTGCTCAACTCAAACAACCACACAGACAGGATGATTAATTCTTCACAAACAGTGATTTATTAGCTGTTCAGACACGTGTTCAGTGTGTTGGTGACCAGCAGCAGCAGCGTTGTGTTAATGGGGACACGTTTCTTTCCTCTCAGGGATGGCGGGCACCATTCACTACCTGTCAGAAATGGAACAGCCTGAAGCTTCCTGCTTCCCTGCCTTTGAGCTTTGACCTGCCAGTGATGGGGCTGAGGATGATGAGGCAGACRAAGAGGACAACTTGTGAGCTGGGGGTTCTGGACTGTATTTATTTGATCTGTCAGCTTTGGTCTGACTGAATGTTGTTAAAACCAGCAGGATGTTGAACAGGACCAAGACCGAGCAGCGTTAACTGTGTGTGTGTGTGTGTGTTTACTACCTGGTGGGGACTATATTTGACCATTATCTCGGTACACACAGCCTGGTGAGGACCCACTGTCCCTAAGGGGGACAAAAGCCCGGTCCCCATTGAGGGAAATACTGTTAGTGGGTCAGGGCTTAGGTTTAAGATTAAGGTGTGAATTGAGTTTAGGTTAGGTTTAGGGTAAGGGGTCAGGGTTAGGCTGTAGAAATGACCAGTAAATGAATGAAAGTCAGTTCAAAGTCCCAGTGAGGATAGAAGAACAAACGTGTGTATGTGTGGATGGGTTTTTCCTACAACATGGGGAAAATTTTCCCAAAAAAGCAGCCTCGTGGGGACCGAAATGCATCGGTTCCAAATGCAAATTATGAGCGGGGGAGTTAGGAACAAGGTTTAGGTTAGGTTTAGTGTCAGGTTGGTACCTGTGAGGTTAATTTTAGGGTAAATGGTCAGGGTTGGGCAATAAAATTTCCAAAAAAGTGAATGGAAGTCAATGGAAAGTCCCCATAAGGATAGAGAGACATAGGTGTGTGTGTTTGTGTGTGTGGATGCCTCTGCATGCTTCCTGTTGGTGTTTCTGTGCAGTTTCCTCCTGTGTTCAAGTCTTTCAGCTCTTCGTGTGTTTGTCATGTTGAAGGAGAATMTTTGGTCCTCTTTAATTTATTCCTGCTGACAGTTTTCTGTGTGGACCCACCCCTTTTCCATGGCAACAGTGTTAAAGGAGCCCCCTTCTTTTTCTGCAGACCTAACAATAAATTTATGTCCAACCTGTCACTGTTGTCCTTCAGCCCACTGTTGGCTATAAACGCTGTGACAGTCCTGTCAGAATTAAACTCTCCTCGGTACACGTTTCTRTGGTCAGGATGAGTTGTTTTCTGTTGGAGTCCCAACGATCCGGTCCCTGTTGAGGATCCCGACAGCACCAGAATGCTCCTGAGGTGCCTGGTTCTCTCACAGAGACTTTCCTGACGAACGTCGCTGCATGAAGATGTTCCTGATGTGTCCTCTGATCACTCCGGACGTGTTCCAGCTCTCGTCACGTCTCCGACTCGTTTTCAGTGTGAACTTGTGTCTGTTCTTCCTCTGTGACGTCCTGWGCGGGAAAGTTTTTATTGTTTTTGCCAAACGACTTTGTTTTTGTTTACAAGGTGACAATGTTCATGTGAGGTTTGATGCCGTTGCAAATAAAGATGAATTCAGCTCCTGTTCTGGTTATTTTCTCCCTCGTATATACGTATTTAAATACTAAACCACTTGTAGTTGAATTACCAAAGGTGAATGTTGGTGCTAGGTCTGAACGGGAGGACCTGAGTCCAGTTCTACAGAATGTAGTGGCACCGAAGAACCTGAAAACAGCTGACTCAACACAAATAATTTGACTCAAAGTTCCTGAAGTAATTTTTAAGGTGCTTGAAACTTTGTGGRCGTAGTAGTTAGCAAAGTACGTGCGGAACACAATCACTTATTACCAAACCAAAATTTAGCTCAATGTTTGCAAAGTAGGTTATATTTGAATCATTTTTTTTATTTGCCACRGTAACTGTGTCCATCTTTAATTGTACGAGAAGTTAAGCTGTGGTTGAATTTCACAAGATGTAAGAGTTAGTGCAGGGGTCTGCAACCTTTACAATCTAAAGAGACATTTTCTCCCTTTAGCTCACTAAACATGTCCAGAGCCACAATACATGCTACAACTGTGGTTATCAACTGGTGGCCCGGGGGCCGCTTTCAGTTCATTGAAGGGGGGATTTTTTTTGGCCAGTCAGGATTACATTATGAAACAAATTATATGGTGAACATTTATTATTTTTACACTTTATGATAAAAGAAAAATCCATATTCATGTAAAGAATAAAATACGTAGTTTATGCAGTAAAACACTAAACTATGCAGGCAGACTGTGGGAACATGCCCCTATGCAGTGCAGTCCTTTCATAGAGCCACCTGTGTCTCTGTGCTGTCTCTTTCCATTGACTATCTTTAAGTTTTGCTGAAACTATWGTAAAGATGGCCGTAATTTACCAGCTTCTTTGCATAAACATGCCCACAAAGGTCTAACCAATCACAGAAGACTTGGCGCATACCGTGCAACACCACAATTAGTTTCAGGTTGCATGTTGCAAACAAATTGAAATCAAAGGCTTTGCTTTGTGAAATTAGCAGAGTCGATAGTTCACGATCTACTTCGGTGTCAGAATGAACCTTTATTTCTCTAAACTAGGGTGGTGAAGGAACTATTTACATCAGGTAAGATATTAACTGTCCAGCACTTTTCCACAGAGCTTCTTTACAGTACAAGCTGTCGACCCCCACCTCAAAAAATAAAGAATCCTTCTGGGACACCAGTCAGTGCTGTGCTACGCTGTGTAAGAACAATAATCATCGATCACATGTTGAAAACAAATGCTGCAGATCCTCTGAGTCATCGGTGCTTTAATGAGCACCTGCAGATGCATGGGTCCTTTAGAATGTCTTTGTGCTTATTACCTTATTACCAGCTGCTCCCGTTGACCTGCAGACACCTGACGGCTCATTAACCGGCCCACGTCAGACCCTCTTGTGTGTGTGAGTCACGTCTCTGTTACAGTAATGCATCGCTTCTTACATCCACAGTTTTATTTTTATAAATAACCAACAGGCACTCCTTCGTCAACTCCCTCCCACCTCCTTGGTTTCCTGCAGGACGTTACTTCTTCTCGCTGTTCTGAAATATCTGTTCGTACGGCGGCGGCGGGTGGTTGCAGTAGGACGGAGGTGGTGGATAGGAGCCCATCATCATGTGGGCGGAGCCAGGGTGCGCCACCATGACCCCGGGGTCGCCTCCTGTCATCCCGTATGAGGTCTGCAGACTCCCCGGCTGCTGGGAAACTGCAACCGTGACAGGAAGAAGAGACTGTTAGGGTTTGTTCAAAGATTTCTAACTCACCTCTGAAAAATGGTTTATAGTCAGTTAAACTTTAGAAAGAAACCTTTTTTTACAAAAATTTACATTGAATCAAATTAAAATAGAACAAAGTCTAAAAACAAAGCAGATAAAAAACATACAAGATCATTTAAAAATTAAGTTTTAAACAATGATTTAAGTGTCAAACTACAGTAAACTATAAAATACCTGATGAACCACTGGACAGATTTGAGTGAAGCTCCAGGTAATTATTAGAAATATAACTGATGAACTTCTGGAGGTAATCCAGTTCCAGATGGCTGCTGCTTATCAATCGTAGCAAACGCAAACATTGCTGCAACTCAGTCAACTTTACAGATTTGGAGCCAGGGTCAGAGTGCGAAAACTTTTCAGCCCAGTTTAATAACCAAGACCGGCCCAATTTTTTGCATATAAAAAATTAGGCAAAGATGTAACACTGGCAAGTAATATTTTTGTTTTGCAATGTGGTAAATAATTATAAATAATGAGGAATAATTATTTAAAAACACATAACTGTATGTTTATGTAAACAAAGGTCCAATTGAACAGTTTAACATTTGAGTAAACAAAAAGCTATAACAACTTATACAAGAATCTACAGCAGGAGTGTCAAACTCAGCTACACAGGAGGGCAAAAATTCAAAACTTGGTCCAAACTGAGGGCACCGCGAGCTGCGGCTGTAACAGCATCTCTTGCTTTTTTAAGTATTGTTGAACTCTAGGGAGTTTTACAGATGAATGCACGCTGAGAGGCGTTATCATAGCTTTTAGCTTCACGATTTTGAGTGTTATTTTTAGCACACGGGCGACGTCAGCTCTGAGAAAATGAACGAGGTTTAACCTGGCGGCCCGCCACCCTTCCTCCAGTTGTGCCTTTCTTTTCTTTAACCTGACGTTTTCAGCCCCAGCTGGTCTCTTCCTGTTAATTTTTACTCAATAATGAGCAGTTTGACCCGGCCACTTCTCCTAACCCGTGCAGACCGGCCCATTAATGATGCGGCCCAGCGGGAATCGTCCCGATTCTCCCGATTACCCACTCCACCCTTACTTGGAGCTTTGAAGTGGTAGAAGCTGAGAGTCCATCCTGACAACAACTTTTTTTAAAAAATTAACTAAAACACCCACAGCTCTGTTAAATCTCAATAAAATCTATGTCTCAAACTCTGGCATGACAGTCGGCAGGTGGAATGTATTTTTTAAAGGAAATGTTAAAACACCAGGCTTTAGTTAGAAGCAGTTTTCAGCAGGTAGCTGTGAGGACAGAGTTACCTGGTGTGGTGATGGTGTGTCTGGTGAAGGAGACGTTAAAGGCCGGCTCGTCTCTCAGAGGGTACGGGTACATCCTCCTGCGGATGAAGAAGCCAGCGCCGCAGCAGAACAGCACCGCCATCATGAGCAGCACCCTAAGACCCAAACACAGCGCCGGGTTACACCTCCCACTCTCATCAGGACCGCTTCAGTCACGCAAACACCAGCTTTCYGTCACCRCTCTGAATTCAAACTGTGAAAGATGCTTCAGCTCCACAGAGCGCCGGCTCTCGCTGTCTGTGAGGAAACCTTTCAGTTGTTGGAGATCTGTCTGCACTGTCCTGACGCCAAAGTTTACAGCACACACTTCACCTTCCGGTCTTCAACGGTCAAATTCGTTGCTCAAAATACTAAAATTAAAACATCAGTATTGGATCAGTAACGCTGATACCAGCCTGAGTTTAATATATATATAAATCTTAAAGCAGACGAAGGTTCTGTTTATTAAAACTATAAAATGATGACTTTTGTAAACGAGACCAATCATTTCCCACCATATTGTGTCCAGCCCTCACAGCTGCATCACGTTTATAGATCAGTGTTGTAAAAAGTACCTCAAAGCGATACTTCAGTAAAAGCACAAGTATTTTACCTTAAAATTACTTTGATGTAAGTTAGTCTTCTCTAAGAATATTACTTGAGTAAAAGCCTTAAAGTATTTGTCATTTACTCTATGTAAGTATCAAAACTAAATTTTAGAT